TGAATAAAATCCATAAAATCATGAGTGTCCAATTTTAACTTCATGGGATCTTCATGAACAATTCATGAGCTGATTCAAGAATATAATTCATGAACTTTTCTTAAAAGTTCAAGAATTATTCTTGATCATTTCGCAGGGGCTGACTTTGAAGATTGATTGGTAAATAAAAAATTTACAGGCAAAAACTATTTTCTGTATTGACCCCCAAAATCCCTTTTTTAAAGAAAGTTTATTTTCATGACCTAAATACCTGAAAACAATGCTAGAGTAATTATTCTTGTGAAATATTACAAGAATTGCTTGTTTCTCTTTTGAGATAATGGAACATACGTGATTTCAAATTTAACATAGAAATCTCCATAGGCAATTTTAAGGGACTCCTAGAAACGGAAGTACTCTTCATATACATACTAAATTTGAAACACAGAGAGCATATAATACTCCAAGCAGATGGACAAAGGGAGATAACCCTTCTGCAATTATTTTTGAAATTACTAAAAAATACTATATTTATAGGTTTCTAAAACACCCATAAGGGGGTCAAAAAGTGGCCCCACGGACCATAATTTTTTAATTGCCCTTCAAATTCTTAACTCAAAATGAAAATCAGTAGGAAGATTAATGGGTAAATAAGAAAGTTTGAGGCAAAAACCTATTTTCTGTCCTGACCCCTAAAAATCTTTTTATTTAAAAAAGAAAATTATTTTCGTTACTTAACTACCTTAAAACAATGCTAGAGTCATTATTCATATGAAATATCACAAGAATTGCTGAAATAATGGAACAAGCGTGATTGCAAATTTAACATTGAAATCTCCATAGGCAATTTTAAGGGACTCATAGAACCGGAAGTACTATTCATATGCATGCTAAAATTGAAACATAACTATTCAATAATAAACCAATTTCAACTTTTTCCCAGCCACAGTGCTCAGGTAAGCGCTGTGGCCCATGGGCCTCTTGTTTTAATTTTCATCAGATATTCATTAACTTATTATTTGATAAAAGTTCTTCCCAGAATGGGCATGCATAAGACATGGAACCAAAACGTTTTGAGTTTCCTTATATGAATATCAGTGATTTGAATATCTAATAACTGGTGTAAGCTTTTAAGAATTATATCTTTAATAAATGTCGTTTTGAAAACATTAATTACTGTTTATACATATAATAAGAGCAATTGAAATTTCCACATTTATTGAACGCAAATCAAAACATAAGGAAAAACAAAACAACTCTATCATACATTTCATTTACACAATAAATTTTGGTCTTCTCGGGGGCTACTCACACATAGAAAAAATAAAAGAACTTCCTGGGTTGACACCGTCAGGAAATTTATAGCTAAAACTGTAACCATAGAAACCTGGGTTGACACCATCAGGTTGTGTATGAGAGTACCCGGGTTGACACCGTCGGGTTCTAATGAATGGAACCTGGGTTGACACCGTCAGGTTAAATTTTGAGATACTTGGGATAATTTTGAGATACCTGGGTTGACACCATCAGGTTTACATGAAAGGACCCAGGTTGACACCATCGGGTAGCTATAATTAATTATATAATGCAGAAAAAATTTATCTGAAATGGGGGAAAACAGGCAAAAATTGTATCTGAATGGGGGGAAAACAGGCAGTTGAACATGAATACATAGAAATTGTGAGAGCCCCAATGATGGTATATACATGTACAATTAAAAATTTAAAACATTTTTGACACATAATATTACAAAAGGTGCAGTATGGGGAAGGTGGGTGGGATAACAAAAAAACACGGAGCATGTACATCAAGCTGAAGTTAGAACAAAGGAATGATGATGTTACATGAAATTTGATGTGGATTAGTTTGGGGGGTCACGTGGCTACAGACCCCCCGGGATCTTCCTGTCCCTCGCACTACGCATTACCTAATATGGACATGAAATACTGGTTCCTAAGACAGATAATCTCTCTAAAAATAGCTTCCTTTGTCTAAGTGTCAAACAATGATTGCTTTTACAAATTCAATTAGATTTACAACACTTTCACCAAAATTACACTGCAATTCTTTCTACATGGATTTACACAATGAATGTTAAATTAGTAGTTCAATAACTAGCAAAATGTATAGGGGAAAAATTAGGTACACATGAAAAACTTCAAGGTTATGTATAAACAAAATTTTTTCTTACATAAAAAATATCATTTTATACATATAATAAGAGCAATTGAAATTTCCACATTTATTGAACGCAAATCAAAACATAAGGAAAAACAAAACAACTCTATCATACATTTCATTTACACAATAAATTTTGGCCTTCTCGGGGGCTACTCACACATAGAAAAAATAAAAGAACTTCCTGGGTTGACACCGTCAGGAAATTTATAGCTAAAACTGTAACCATAGAAACCTGGGTTGACACCATCAGGTTGTGTATGAGAGTACCCGGGTTGACACCGTCGGGTTCTAATGAATGGAACCTGGGTTGACACCGTCAGGTTAAATTTTGAGATACTTGGGATAATTTTGAGATACCTGGGTTGACACCATCAGGTTTACATGAAAGGACCCGGGTTGACACCATCGGGTAGCTATAATTAATTATATAATGCAGAAAAAAATTATCTGAAATGGGGGAAAACAGGCCAAAATGAAAGAACATCAAGTAGTAGTGGGTACTAAGTATTGGAAAACATTAATTACTGGTATTACATTTGCAAATGACAAAACGTTTTTTAGATCACCCACCTGAGCTTTTCTGATCACCCATTGTCTGTTGACCGTCTCTCCGTAAACTTTTTCAACTTATTCTCAAGATCCACAGAGCCAATTTCAACCAAACTTGGTACAAAGCATTCTTGGGTGAAGGGGAGTTCAAATTGTTAAAATAAAGGGCCAAGTCCCCGTACAAGGGGAAGATAATCAAGAAAAGAGAAAAATAGGGTGGGGTCATTATGAAATCTTCTACCGATAACCACCTGACCAGAAAAGCTGAAACTTATGTGGAAGCATCCTGGGATAATGTTGATTGTAAATTGTTAAAATCATGACCAACTGGGGTAGGGCGGGCCACAATGAGGAATCCAATTTACATTGAAATATATGGGAAAACCTTAAAAAATTTTCTTCTCAAGAACCACTGGGCCAGAAAAGCTGAAACTTATGTATGAAGCATCCTGGGATAGTGTAAATTTCAAAGTTTTAACATCATGACTGTTGGGGTAGGGCTGGGTCACAATAGCTATTACGTTTTGGAAATCTGGTAAAGAAAAGCATGGCCAAAGTTACTCAGGTGAGCAATATGGCCCATGGGCCTCTTCTTTTTTTGATAAAACATCGACTTTATCACATAACAGGATTAAGATCCACGATCCCTGCAGGCACACAACATTGAAAAAACTTTGAAACAATGTTGATTATATATGTTGATGGGTGGTGTTGATCTCCTGATTAGCATCTCTAATGGATTATGTTGAACCAACGGCAGCATATTGACTCAGGTCGCATGGCTTTTGAGTATGCCCTATCTTATATAGACAAAGAGCTTAAATCAAAAAGTACACAAACTGGCCTGATTTCAAAATAGGACAATTTTGTCTCTGGATATATCTACAGACTATATATTTTTTCAAACCAACTTTCTTTTATCAATATCTTTTACATATTTTCTGAAAGGAGTCTTCAAAATAGCATATGTATAAGGATGAATTTCATATGTTTTGCAGAAACGTCATAATGACGTTGTGAATTTAACACTTCTGATTTCTTATTATTAAAGTGGTAAATATTTATTTATTGATGAGTTTTTCACAAAAAATGTATATTACAATATATTACAGTTAGTACTTCAATATTTCGTTAATAAAACATAACTTTGAAATTACAACGTCAGGTATAAACAAGCTTTGGTACATGTACAAGTGAAAATGAGCGTGCCCATTCAGCGTTTGCTTACAGCGGTGCACGTTAATGATTAAATTCATATTAACGTTTCATTGTTGACATTGATAATGTTTTATAATAATAATTTTATCAATAATTTACACAAACTTCATGCATTTGAGATTTTAATCAACCTGTATAAAGCCAAGCCGGAGTGGGGAGGGGGGGGCTGTTAAATGTTAAAAGCACTTCATAGAATGATAACAAGTTTATCTTTTTGAAAAGATAGGTGAGCTAGCGCCGTAGCAATTTTTAAACACAGAAAGGAAGGTCCGTGATCAAGTGATTTATTTTGCTGAATTTTTTAATGTTTATAGAGGCTGGGGTGTGATAAAGTTATAATTTTTTGTGAAGTGTATTTTATAGACACATAGTTAAAGAAACGATGGAGGGGAGGGTTGAAGATTTTGTGTTGACCCATTGGAGTTTCCAGAGAGTTCCGAATGTGAAGATGTGAAGTAGCTTGGCCCTTTGGGTCATCTTTGTCAAGAACTGTTAGGTTAAAAGCCATACACAGAATTTTTAAAAAAAAATAAATAATGTATTTGTTCGTATTTTTTTTAGTGTAAATCCTTGTTTACAGAGTTTTTGCTAGGCGTACATTGCCATGATTGCGAGCATATAGAATATATTTTTCGTGTAGTGAGGTCTTGAAAATAGAGTCTATATCTTTTGCTTGGACATAAAAAAAATCCCTTGTCTTTGTTTAGAACAATCAGATAATGACTCTGGCTTTTCCACTGGAAAAAAGGGAAATTTTGAAATATTACAATTATGTTGTTATCTTTAAAGTGTAATTAAGCTTCACAATAAATAAACAAAGTTATTTAATGATACAATGAAATTTTTATCGTACGGTCTATCTATAGTAGTTTTCAGTTTTCCCAGAATGCATGACCGTGAAGCCGAGCATGCGTATTCCAGGAATTTGGACTAACGTAGTTGCTAGTGCTTGAGAGCGCTAGCAAAAACACCTTATATAATGATAGTTGCACATACATGTAATATAATGACTTATCTACATCATATAATGAAAGATCTCAATTCAAAGACTTAAAAATAGTGTGTCATGTGACTACACTCGGAACCCAACCCATATAAGCGACTGTTCACGTGTGGATATCATCTTTTTTCTTGAGCGAGCATAACATACGCACGTTTGTATTCGTGTTGGGTTTTACATTTATTGTTTTAAGTCTATACGTCTCTAGGACGAAGTCCAGAGAAAAAATAATAAAGTGACTTAACTGTTTGTATTCTTACCAAGAACGCTGTTCTGGTCTTTTTACTTTTAGGTGTTTTTTCTAATACCTGTTGTAAACATGTGTTTTTGTCTTTAAATATGTCGGATTTGGACGACAGAGACGATGTCCTGTCGCTGGGGGGAAACAGTGACGAAGAGATTTTTGATAATGAAACTGAAAAAATGCAGACTAGGTCTGATAAACAGTCACAGTGTAAAACACGTGGCAATAAAAAGAGAAAGTCGGCCATAGAGCCCTGTGTAAACACAACCATCACCGTTAAACCGTCTAAACAAAGACGTATCACGAAAAAATCAACAGGAAATGATACCTGTTTAGACATAAACGAATTAAAATCTGCATTAGGAATTGATACTATTTTGCAATCAATTTCTACTCTTTCCGAGTCTGTTAAGAAAATGTCAGATGTAAATGTAGGTCAAAATTGGCAAAGTATGGCGTCCAATACGGGACATGAAACGGTTACTACTGGTCTTCCCAGTGCAACTGCATCTAGACCTATTTTAAGCTTAGATCAAGGTGAATCAAATTTTTTTGACAATGAAGAGACTTTGAATGATTTCAATTTGAGCTATTTAGATGCTCCCCCTAGCCCTTCATTGCCCGGAATAGATCCTCAAGTTGCTTTTCAAAATGCTTTTGAGTCGGTTGATATTGAGAAACCTTTAGATGATGATTCATCATGGAATATTCCACAGCTAAATCCAGATGACGTTACCGGCCCTAAAATTGGGTCTGGTCTAGCCAAAGCAGTTAACGCTGCTCTCTCGTAAAATCTTCAAAAGAAACCATGAATGATATTGGTAAAAAATATAATAGACCAGAAAATTGCACTTTGTTGAAAGTTCCACGGGTAAACAAGGAAATATGGGATGTTCTCGGAAAACAAGCTCATTCTTCTGATTTGTCTTTTCAAGAGATATAGAAGTCTCTGGCCCAGGGTTTAGTACCTATTGTCAATTTAGCAGATCAATTTGCAAATAATAAAGAAATCGACAATCAAAAAACAAAAGCCATGTTATCTGATTCAATCAGTCTTCTTGGTTATGGGTTTTACAATTTGTCAATGAAAAGACGACATGAGATCAGAAATCACTTGAATCCTAGGTACAGGAAGATATGTAGTTCTGATGTCCCTATTTCTGAAAATCTGTTTGGTGATAGTTGTATGTCAAAGCTTAAAGACATGGGTGACATAAATAAGTATCCCCTTAGCTCTAACAGGGGGCAAGGTGGAAAGTACATGTACTGTAGATCACTAAATTTTCACGACATCTTATTTTCGCGAGATCGTCATTGACTCTTGATTAGCGAGACAAAATTTTCACGAATTGTGGTTATTGCGCTATATAATCTTAAGAAATACTATTATACGCGAGAATTAAATTTTCGCGAGCACACTGTCTCGCGTAATTACGCGAAAATAAAGTTCTCGCGAATAAAAAATGATTTACAGTACTCTGCATATAGAAACAGAGCTCCTTATTGTACAGGGGTGCTGCTGGAAATTTCCAGCAGCACAACCAAACATATCAGTACAGTCAAGGTTACACGTATCCAAACAGAGGGTACCAATACAGACCGAGAGGAGGCCAGAGCTACAAGAGAGGAGGACAGAACTACTCCCAGCAGCAAAGTTATTATCAGAGAAACAGTCAGAAGAAATAGTTGAGGTGAGAAAGCTTAACATTGAATATTGGAAGAATTTTACAAATGATAAATGGATTTTAAGCACAGTTGAAGGCTATAAAATTGATTTCATTGAGGAACCAAAACAATCTTTTTTTCCAAAAGGAATCTCCTTTAATGAAAATGATTCAAAACTCTGGTTCAAAATGAAGTAGAAAATTTATTAGCAAAGGGTGCCATTGAAAAAGTTTACAATCCATCAGATGAGTATATTTCTAACATTTTTTAGTACCAAAGAAAGATGAATGTCAGAGACCAATTATAAATTTAAAGGTCTTAATGAATTTATTGAATACCAACATTTTAAGCAAGAAAATCTACATTTTGCTTTGGAACTAATTGAAAAATATGATTATTTGACATCAATCTATCTTAAAGATGCTTATTTCAGTATAAGTATCCATCCTGATTTCAGGAAATATTTGGCTTTTTATTGGAATGACAGTTTGTATAGATTTACTGTTCTTCCTTTTGGTCTGGCCTCTGCGCCAAGAATTTTTACTAAAGTTTTGAAACCAGTTTTTGCAGCCTTCAGATCTATGAATATCAAATGTTGTTACTATATTGACGAATCTCTCATTGTTAATACAAATTTTGAGAAATGTAAGAGAGAATCTGAAATAGTGACAAATGAGTTAGACAATATTGGTTTCTCAATCAATCGCAAGAAGTCAGTAATGATACTCAAAGAATAAAATATTTGGCCTCCAACACCTCAGATCTCCAGATTTCCACATTATTCTGCATTTTTTTCTCATTTTAAATATGGAAAAAATGTGGAAAAAATACAGAGAGAATTAACAATACGGAAAAGCAGAAAATATACGGAAATAATCTGGAAAATATACGGAAATAATACGGAGAATTGGACTTAGTCTATTTTTCATCTGGAAAAATATTTAACTCTTAACTTGGAATATTTTTCATCTGGAAAAAATACGGAGCTCTGGACTTCAGCAGTTCTCTGTTTCTCCTAAATGTTATGTACAATTTGATCGGGATCGAAAGAACGTTTCAAAAAGTAGGGCTCAGTGATCAATTAATTTAAACAACAGACCGCCAAAATTTGACCTTGGCTTCCATGTTGTAACATCTGCACTGTTTTGAAGAGGAGGTTTGTTGACCAGGAAGCCTGAGATCGCATTGCTGTATCAACCAATAGATGTAGATACACGTATTTCATATACAGTAGGTCAGTCATAGTTTTTTTAATGTGTGTGAGTGATGATGAAAATAAAATTGCTCTAGGCCTAGGACTGAGCTACCAGGCTATGTTCGTTTCAGCCAATATGCCCATGATTCAAATTATTCAATCAGCTCAAAGAACTTAATTATGATTAACCACAATTAAAGGTGTTAAATTAATTTTGGGGAGCCATGGGCTGTAATCTCTATATTTATAGCAATGACCATACTTTTTTTTTTTTTGGGTAGAGTCTAACGTCTGTGCAAAAGGAGGAGATTTCCTGAAAAAGAATAAGTGGTTATTCAACTAACTGCGATTTTAACAGGCTTAAAGCTGGTCCATGGATGGTTATGTATGAGGTATCATATTCTTTTTTTTTTCTTTTTTATTGCTCGTTTAATTAAGAACAGTCAACTATGATTGTCATTATTATAAATATTACTTTAAACAAATTGATATAAAATTGAAGAACCCAAACTTGTGTTTATAAAAAGATTATAAAAGGAATAAAAGCAATTAATTAAAATTTTATTAATATTGCACCATAATTTTAGTTTTTTTTTTAACTTATAGGATTTGCCAATTTGACCGCAAGTGCTGCTGCAAGAAATTAAACATGCAGTGACCTTACAAATTACAAAGAAGTCTGAAGAAAATTTTTATTGGACAGATGGGTGTAAAGCACAGACCTGAGATATAAATTGAATATTGTGAGAAATATGAATCAGGAATGCAGATAGAAAATGGCAAATGTGATCCAGATTGATAAAAAATGTCTATGAAATTGCTTCTTTTTTTTTTGGTAAATATGCAATGCTAGCTATGTCAATTGTTATTTTTTCCCCCAATATCTAAAAGTGTTGAACTTTTCACTACCACTTTTGCTTTTATAGAATGAATAGATTTCCATTTAATTCATATATATAAAAAAAATGCCACATTCTTATTTTTTTCATGATGAATTTGTGGCATAATAAGAGTTCCAACTTTTTCCATATATGCTCCTCTGTTTGTTTGTCAAAGATATAAGATCCAATACATTGCTAATGTCCATAATGTGTAAATTTTTCATTCATTTAAATGTTTTTCTCATAATGGTATCATAAATTGTATATAATTTTGCACATTGTTGATGGTTTTGTAAATATGTATGTATGTATGCATCATGTAGCAGTTTTAAGCCATTTTATAACCATGTGATTAACTCCGCATTTTCTCCAGATTTCTGTATTTCTGCATTTTATCAACCAAGTAAATACCTCCATATTTTTTATATATGGAAATGCGGAAATCTGGAGAGAATACGGAAAAAGAGTCCAAATACTCCCATCCATATTTTCTCCAAATTTTGAATACGGAGAAAATCTGGAAATTTGAATCTACGGAAATCTGGAATGAATGCGGAAAATTAGTCCAAATACTCCCGTCCGCATTTTCTCCTTATTTTGAATATGGAAAATATATGGAGATCTGAGGTGCGGGCTTATCATTGATTCTGTGGAATTTAAGGTCTTTCTTACTGATGAGAAGGTATCAAAAATTATGACATTATGTTCAGAGATTTTACATGAGCAAATTGTTCCAATTCGTAAATTTGCATCCTTGATTGGTCTTATTGTTCATGCATTCAATGCTATATTTGTTGGACCTTTGCATTATAGAAATTTGGAAAGAGACAAAATCAAAAGTCTTAAAAATTCTATAGATTATGAATCAGAAATGGTTATTTCAGAAAATAGTGTTCAGGAAATAACGTGGTGGTTACATAATATTGAAAAACTCAATGGGAAATTAATTCGCAACCCATCAGTTGACTACTGGGTTGAAACTGATGCATCCCTTCAAGGTTGGGGAGCAAGTTTTGAGGATAAATCTACTGGAGGCCGTTGGTCTGTTTTAGAATCTAAGATGCATATTAATGAATTGGAACTTAGAGCTATTCAGTTTGCAGTCAGAGCTCTTTTTGCAAGCTATTCAAACTGTCATATTGGTATTAAATCTGATAACACTACTGCAGTTGCTTATATTAATTCCATAGGTGGAATGACTTCTGAATCCCTTGATTCTGTTGCGATTCAAATTTGGAACTGGTGTTTAGACAAAAATATCATTATTTCAGCTAAACATATTCCAGGAGTGGAAAATGTAAAAGCAGATTTTCTTTCAAGACAATTCTCAGATTCTAAAGAATGGATGTTAAAATCCGATATTTTTATTCGAATTTGTCATCATTTTTTCTTTCCTGACATTGATTTGTTTGCATCAAGACTTAATGCACAGTTAAGCAATTTCATTTCTTGGGTATATGATCCAGATGCTGCCGATACTGATGCTTTTTCCCTGAATTGGACCAATTTAAAACCATATATTTTTCCTCCCTTCAGATTAATAGGGAAAATAATAAATAAAATCATTTCAGATAAAGTAGAGGAGGCTATTGTAATCATTCCTTTATGGAGAACTCAAAGTTGGTTTCCAATGTTAATTTCATCTTTAATTTCTGTTCCCGCCAGGTTACCAAGGCACAAGGATCTCTTGATCATGCCGCATACCGGAGAGTTTCATCCCATGGTAAGGAAAATGTCCTTGATCGCCTGTGTTCTATCAGGAAACACCTTGAGAGTCAGGGAATTCCAGAATTCGAATGTTCAATTATTAATGCAGCCCTTAGACCAGCCAGCAATAAACAATATCAATATGCTTGGCAAAAATGGGTTTTTTGGTGTGGTAAATGGAAAGTTAATCCCTATCAACCGTCTGAGGTGAATGTTGTCAAATATCTGGCACATTTAATGAAACAAAAATGTTCATATTCAGTAATAAATTCAAATAAAGCTATGTTTTTACAAACCCTTTCCTTTTTCAATGTGAAATTGGTAAATAACCAGATTCTGATTCCAAAGTTGTTAAAGGGATACTATAATTTAAATCCCCCTATACCTAAATGTAAAAAGACATGGGATGTCTCAAAAGTTTTGCATTTCTTAAGTGGCCTTTATCCAGTTCAAACATTGAATCTCAAAATGTTGACACTAAAATTAGTAGCACTTTGTGCACTAACTACTGCTGCAAGAGCACAAAGTCTCTCAGCTTTGAATTTAGATTACATGTGTATTTACAATGATAAAATTGTGTTTCAAATTCATACTCTTATGAAAACTTCGAGGCCAGGTATTGTATTGCCTTCAGTCACATTCTTTAAATATGATAAAAAAGAACTTTGTGTTCTTGATACTTTAACAGAATATTTAGACAGAACAAAGGATGTACGCAAAAGTCCTTTTTTATTTATATCATATAAAACCTATTTGAAAGTGACAACTTGTACACTAGCTAGATGGTTGAAAGAAGTTTTACTTTCCTCTGGAATTAATACCTTTACCGCTCATTCCTTTAGGGGAACAGCAGCATCCCTGGCATATAACGCTGGCACCTCCATGAAGGAAATTATGGATACAGCTAACTGGCCCTCTGCAAAGACTTTCCATGCGCATTATTTAAAAGAACTTCCTGTGCAGAATTCCTTTGTGAAAAGTGTGTTGGACAATAATATGAAAAGACAGTGATTTAAGTGAAGTTTTTCCTTTTTGTGTAAATAAACGGCTGATATCATTTCTTTTGATTAAACATTCAATGTGTTTATAAAATATTTCTTGTTGTGTTTGTTATTTTGTGACAACACTTTGAATATGCTATATGATACCCTCGTAGAGCCGAAAGGCGATATGTAATAGAATGGTCCCTCATCCAAGCATACCTTTAGGGATGTGAAGGATGAGAGACATTCTATGTAATGAGCCTGAGGTTCAAGAGGGTATCATATACCCACCCATATTGAATAGACTTTCATGTTTTGTTTTTCCCAACCCTTTTTGTGGGTTGTCACAAATTCTGTAAATTATGATATCCACACGTGGACAGTCGCTTTTATATGGGTTGGGTTCCGAGTGTAGTCACATGACACACTATTTTTAAGTCTTTGAATTGAGATCTTCTCAGTTATGCTTCGCTACACAAGGAAACAAATGCTATATGATACCCTCTTGAGCCTCAGGCTCATTACATAGAATGTCTCTCATCCTTCACATCCCTAAAGGTATGCTTGGATGAGGGACCATTCTCCAATCAAAGAGTTGTCCATACATGTTACACAATTGTGAGAAAAAGGGGGATTTAGTCCTCTACAGGAGTATCGCGTGATATTTAACGCATGGACTTGTGAAGATATTCTTTTTTCAAAGTAATCATCCTCATGTTTTAGCAAAATGTTTTCACGATTGTGAAGATATTCTTTTTTCAAAGTAATCATCTTCATGTTTTAGCAAAATGTTTTCACGATCATCAATTCAAGTTTTTAGAAGAAATAATACATGGAATTATTTTTAATAATCTATACAGTGCATCTATTGACAATCACTAGACAGGGTTATGAAATATCGTTCATCCCTGCCATCTTTCTGCTTTTTGAAATTTTCAACCATTTTCAACACTTGTGTATTTTCGAGCAATACCTTTATTTCGTTGAACGAATACTTCCGAGATCAGCATTAGCAAACTTCTAATGCAAGAACGCTGTTAATCAAAGGCAGATCCAGGACCGGTGCCTCGGGTGTGCACCCCCCCCCCCTCCCTTTCGAATTAAAAAAAATTGTACAATCCAAAAATCAACGGAAAACGCCTCATTAATATCATTAAGCCTTGCAGTGTAAAACTTTGCAATGCAGCGATGTAATATTAAAATTATTGCATTCAATAGTTGAAGGGGCATCATTTAGTGAGCTCAGTGCTCAGTAGCTCTAGTTATTAGGGGTAGGGAGTGTCAGTGCAATTTGTACTGTAATTGTAAATATAACTGTATATTCAATATGGAGGTGGGGGGGGGGCAGTCATGATAATCAATCGCAGAAATATATCCCTACCTCCCGACCGGGATACACATGTATCAAATCAACTTTTGTCAGTCATGACACAGATTTCGATCATTAGCACCAATCATATTCTTTGTTGGATTTTGCAATTTTATGTCAGTCAAAGAAGTCAGAATAAATGTTTAGTCACTCAACGCATCACTTTGTCGATTCTTTAAAAAATTGTAATTTTTTTTCCTTAGCGAAAAGGCCTGTGATTCTAAGTGTATACTTTCAAGCAAGATCTGCAATAACACAGTGAATAAGATGATAATCTGAATATGAAAAAGATTTTGAATAAAAGTTTTATGATTTTATACATGTTAAAATTCTTTATGATGAGCGATGTCGGAACCTACTTTTTTTTTTACCACCCTTTGTGTCATAATTATTCATATATTAATCACAGAATCAAAGCAGAGAATGGAACAGACAACCCTTCCTTTTTTGAGATTATTCTCATATTAAATTGATAAACTTATAATTTATGTAAAGGCCGCCTAAATCTCTTATCTAACAGTATTCCTATACGTTTGTATATGTTGCCTTTTTAACCGGATGCTTATTTTGTTTGTCAGTTATAGACTACCCACCCTTAAAGCATACACATGGAAAACGAGGCCACAGGCTTATTAGGTTGGCATATTTGAAAATCACGAGTTGATGAATACATTGGGACATTTACTAAGAATAATTTTTGAAAAGCATACTGTAATTTAAATATTGTAATAAGTGCACACACACTCTCTCTCTCTCTCTCTCTCTCTCTCTCTCTCTCTCTCTCTCTCTCTGGGACATGCTGACTACCTTTAGATATTCAGACTAAATGAAAAATATCAATGTATGAGCAAAATATAAACATAAAAGTATTCAGTATACAAATACATATGACTTATATTTAGCTATGTTATTAATTGTCATCGTCTCAAGCCACGGTCCGGAGTCCGCATATAGCTCTCTCCATAATAGGAGAGGATCGTACATTTTGGTCGTGGTTTGCGACGATGTGTTATTGTAGACATCAACATTAATCGCTCTACCCGACATTGCGTGATAATGATTATGTAAAACACAGAATAATGAGTACATATAAGCCTATGTACTTACGTTCTTACGTTAAATAGTAATAATGTTATTTATTTAAATTTTCCACATTACATTTTTCAAAAAATTGATATTTTTTTAACACCTAGAAATATTTCATCTACAATCATCACGTGTACGAAAAATATTGCAAGTCCCTACACCGCGACTTTGACGTCATTTTCTGCACATTGTGACGTCAAGAGAAAAAACTGACGACTTGTCAAATGTTGAAAAAAAAAGAAAATAGACCTATTATGGTTATAACCTGGCTACTGTGGAGGGCTTCTGTTAAACAGTGATCCAGAACAGACACGCAAGTGTAAAAAGCATGTAGACTAATGCGAATACATTTCTCCATTTTTAAAAAAAAATGTTTGTAATTGAATTATTAGGCTGAAGCCTTCCATATTTACCACGTATAAATAACATATTTATGCTAAAAAGGATTTATGGTTGTGTTTATATAATTTACGGTAACTTTTCTTATGATAGATTAAATCTTTGCAATGTGATGTTTTTAATAACATGAAATTTATATAAGGTAAATTTGATTTCTGCATGCGCCAGCTGACCAAACGATAATCATAAATATTAATTTTAAACATGGGGCGCATTCCTCTCGGAGAAAAAAACTTGTTCAAAAATACGCGTAAGATACCAATGTTTGATTTTATGCTTGAATTTTTTTCCAAGAGGAATGCGACCCACTTGAAATTTTAAAATGAATCTGTAAAATCGGTGAAAAATTCCAGAAAACTCAAAACCGTCATAGGTTTTAGCCGTTACAATGCTAAACCCAACATCCGGTTTGACGAAAACTACCCATCCCTGCATTGACGAAGTCGAGTAGATAGGGAAACCACAAATAGTTTTAATGAAGATGTTGATTTAGTTTTTAAAAGCAAACAAGTATAATGTAACAGATTGCAGCATATGGCATATTGTAGGATAAAGAATATACTCTCTGTGATTGGTCATCTTTTTGTTTTCTTTATATATGGTACTCTCATTTGATCATCATGCTGAAAATCAATTAAAAATATGTACCATGCATGGAATTTTTTTTTTTTCTATTTTATTTTTTTTATTTTTCGTAAGGATTCGTTGTGAAATTTTTTTTAAATGCTAAAATGATATATTTTTGCAGCCGATTTGATGATTTGCATCAATTTATTTATACTACTATTAAAGGGGTCATTTTTCAATGGGGTTCAATTTTTTTAGGACTCCCATATAAAATAATGACCCCTCGGGCTCTTTTTCTACAAAAAATGATTTTTTTTTCTCTATGGCTTGGGGGGTCATTTTTTGTCATTGAAATATGACCCCATGTCATTATTTGATAGGGGTCATTATTCGTCTTTACACCGGCCGCCACGGTAAAACCCCTTGTAGAGAACACTGATTATTATCCTCGAACAATGATAAAGGTGCTATTCTTTTGATGTTGCATTAAAATGTTCCTTTGCCAGGACATTCATGTCATATGGATGTAGTTTAAAGTTCTTTTCTTTTATCATAGGATAATGGTTCTGAGTGCAGGGAAGATCATCGAGTTTGACAGCCCTCAAAACCTTCTGAACAGCAGGGGAAGTGTCTTCTATGCAATGGCTAGTGATGCTCATTTGCTTTGAAAATTTATATCTTGCATTAAAAAATGTTCATTTTTACCTTATTCTTAAAAATATAACTTAGCAAGTCATGTTTATGAAGGTATTTTAAATTTTATGGTAAGAATCACCATATCTGTCCTTGCAATCAGATTGTAGTTGAAAGAGCTAGTTTCATTTTACACATAAAATGAACTGTACTTGTATGAACTGATTGACTATCACCATGTGTCCCATTTCACATACCGTATAAGCAGAATTTTTAGCGAGCCAGGATTTAATTTTGGCAATATTAGCGAGGATGCCAAGATCGCTAAAATTGAATATCGCTAAAAAAATAATTGCACTTTAATATAGCTTCTTAAATGAGCTTTTTAAATTCGCTAAAATTACTGTTCTCACTAAAAATAAAATACCGAGGACAAATTGCTAAATTTGCATCTCGCTAAAATTTCCACTTATACTGTATTAAAAAAAAGTACAGACTTAACTGCTCTATTTTCTGTAATAAATTTTGTTATTGAGGATCAAGGTATTGGAAAAAATGCAATTTTTTGTAGAAAACAGGCATATGTAACTACCTTCAGAATTACTAGTAAGTTAAAATAAGAGACATGTTTAATGATCATCTGAAACAGATATTTCATTATTTACTAAATATTTTGGATCAGAGATTGTGCTCTATATGTAATACAGATGTACATGTACTGAAAAAAAAATTACTTCGACTTTTGGCTATTTTTAAAGGAATTTACAGGATGGGGTAAATGTGACACATTTCATGATGTCATAATGCAGTGACTAAAAAGAAAATATTTCCTTGATTGTTAGAACGTGACAATCTGAAATTTGAATGTGAGTAATAGAGGAGCCTGTAATTCCTAAATAACAAGGCCAATTTATGCAGAGATTATGCTTTTTATCTTTTACCAATGGCTCTCATTTTATATTACATACATTCATTTTTTATGAATAATTTTCAAGCACATAATTAATATATTTCTTGCACCTTTTCAAAATAAAGAAAGGAAAGAATTCTGAATGCTTATCTTTATTTAGTTGACTAGTTAACTTTTCTGATCAAAATACTTTTGTCATTGTCTCTAAATGTTTCAAGTTCAATTTATTCACTCAAACCAATTATTAAATGTGCATTTGGTTCTATGGAATACAATACATACTAAAAACAACAAACATTAGATACACATGAAATGCCGGAAATACATTCAAATTATGAAGAAACAACAAAAATAATAAATTTTAGGTAGTAAGTCTAAAAAATTTTCAAATCCAAATTCTGTTTTGAAGATATAATATGAGGACTATTCAAAAAATACATAGACAATGTTCCTCATCATCATATTATTACCATGAGAGGATATGTGCTAATCTCGGACAAAGAAGAAAATTTAAAAATGAGTGGTTACAAAAAAATCAATTCTAGATTTTTAGCTCTTCTGAGCCAAAGGCTTTTCTGATCAAAATTTGTCCGTTGTCTTTGTTGTTGTAAACTTTTCACATTTTCATCTTCTTCTCAAGAACCACTGGACCAATTTCAACCAAACTTGCTACAAAGTAATCTTGGATAAAGGGGATTCAAGTTTGTTCAAATGAAGGGCTTTGCCCTCTACCAAGGGGAGATAATTATGAATTAGTGAAAAATTTATGGCATTTTTAAAAAATCTTCTTCTCAAGAACCACTGGGCCAGGAAAGATGAAACTCTTGTGGAATCATCCACAGGTAGTGTAGATTAGATTCAAGTTTGTTCAGATCATGACCCCCGGGGGATAGGGTGGGGCCACAATTGCTGATCAAATTTTACATAGGAATATATAGGAAAAAATCTATGAAAATCTTCTTCTCAAGATCTATAGGGACAGGAAAGTTGAAACTCATATTGAATCATCCTCAGGTAGTGTAGATTCAGGTTTATTCAAATCATGACCCCCGGGGGTAAGGTGGGGCCACAATTGCCGATCAAAGTTTTACATAGGAATATATAGGAAAAATCTTTAAAAATCTTCTTCTCAAGAACAATTGGGACAGGAAAGATGAAACTCTTATTGGATTGTCCTCATATAGTGTTCTTTCAAGTTTTCTTTTTTAAATCATGACCCCTGGTGGTAGGGTGGGGCCACAATGGCTGATCAAAGTTTTACATAGGAATACATGTGTATATGTAGAAAAAATCTTTAAAAATCATATTCTCCAGAACCACTGTGCCAGGAAAGATGAAACTCATGTGGAAGCATCTTCAGGCAGTGTAGATTCAAGTTTGTTCAAATCATGACCCCTGAGGGTTGGGTGGGGCCACAATGGCCGATCAAAGTTTTACATAGGAATATATAGGGAAATCTTTAAAAATTTTCTTCTCAAGTACTGCAAAGCCACGATTAGTGATATTTATATGGAAGCATTCTCAGGTACTGTAGATTCTAGTTTGTTCAAATCATAACCCCCAGGGATAGAGTGGGGCCACAATGGGGGGTCCAAATTTTACATTAAAACACATTTCAAAAAATTGTTTTCTATAGAATAGCAAAGCCATAGTTAGTGATATTTATATGGAAGCATCCTCAGATATTGTAGAATTAAATTTGTTCACATCATAACCTCCAAGGGTATAGAAGGGCCTTAATGGTGAATCAAAGTTTGACATAGGAAAATAAAGGGAAAAATCCCAATAAGAGAAAAGCTATGTTTAGTCATATTGACATGTAAGCATCCTCATCCATTGAATATTTAAATTTGTTCAAATCATGAGTACCCTTTGGGGTAGAGAGGGAAGCAATGGGGAGTCAAATTCAATTTATTACAAAGTAATATATACAAACAAAATGTTTAAAAAATCTATAAAAATCTTTATCTCAAAAAGTTATATGAAGTATTGATACAGAGGCATTCTAAAGTAGTATTAGAATTCAAGCCATCTTAACCCCCCCCCCCCAGTAAGCTTTTCAGCTCTGATCTGATTAATGTGCTTTTTCTTAGTTGATGTGCTCAGGTGAGCAGTGTGGCCCCTGGGCCTCTTGTGGGAATATAGGCCATAACTCAAGAACCCTTTGGCCAATCATTGTCAAAATTTTCACAGAGCATCCTTGGTCCAAGGGCTACTATTTAAACTAAAACTAGGATTTCGACCCGTAAACAAGGGGAGATAATCAGGAAAATAAAACCAAAAGTACTGCTTGCTATAAAATCTTTTTCTCCAGAACCACCAGGCAGATTTTTACAAAACTTACCTACAAGAATCAAGATATGTTGAAGATCAAAATTGTTCAAGACATCACCCTGGGGCAAACGGCATGGCCTCCATGCTTCAAAGCTTCAAAGTTCACCAAAATTTACACTTGATAAAAACGTTTATATTTTGCTCACTGTAAAAACTAGGATCATCAAATCTTCTACGATGTTGCATCTTAGGACTTTACATCATGTTATCTTAAAAGTAGGTCATGGTGACCTACTTTTTAAATTTTGTGGGCATTTGTTTTCAAATTGGTATAGAGGCATATTTTGGACACTGTAAGGTCTATGATCATCAAACTTTGTCAGTTGATACATCTTGGAGCCTCAAACAATGTCAACTTAAAAGTAGGTCACCATGACTTACTTTTTAGGTCACCTGAGTAAACTCAGGTGACCTATTGCTATCCGTTTTCGTCCGTCGTCGTCTGTCGTTCGTTCGTCCCGTCGTGTGTTAACATTTGAACATTTTCAGCTTCTTCTCTGCAACCACTGAACCAATTTCAACCAAATTTGGCACAAAGCATCTATGGGTGAAGGGGAACAAAAATTGTGAATTTCATGATCCCTGCCCCCCTGGGGCCTGAGGGGTGGGGCCAAAACCACTAAAATTAATGCAATCTTTAAAAATCTTCTTCTTTACTCCTGGACATCAAGCAGTCAAACTGTTTGCATGATTGTAATCAGCATTGAGTCCTTTACCAAAATTGTGAAATTCAAGGCCCTGGGGTCAGGGGTTCTAGTGCTAGGGCGGGGCTAAATAAGTATATAGTGAAAATGCATTATTTCTTTGGAAATCTTCTTCTCTACTCCTGGGTATTAAATAAACCAACTAAGTACATAGTTATGATGAGCAAGAGTGCCTCTACCAAAATTTTGAATTTTATGGCCCCAGGGTCAGGGGTTCTGTTGTTAGGGCGGGGCTCTATTGATTATATATAGTGAATTTATTTTTTTTTTTTAATTTAAACAATATTTTATTATGATAAAACATAATTGGATTGGACAGCAGGCACTGCCTATATAAGTCCTTTCCACAGTAGTGAAAATACATGATTTCTTTGAAAATCTTCTTCTCTGCCCCTGGGTATTAAATATACTAAGTAAGTGCTTAGTTATGATGAGGATGAGTGCCTCTACCAAAATTGTGAATTTTGTGGCCCCAGGGTCAGGGGTTCTGGTGTTAGGGCGGGGCTCTATTGATTATACATAGTGAAAATACATGATTTCTTTGAAAATCTTCTTCTCTGCCCCTGGGTATTAAATATACTAACTAAGTGCATAGTTATGATGAATATGAGTGCCTCTACCAAAATTGTGAATTTTATGGCCCCAGGGTCAGGGGGTCTGGTGTTAGGGCGGGGCTCTATTGATTATATATATTGAAAATACATGATTTCTTTGAAAATCTTCTCTGCCCCAGGGTATTAAATATACTAACTAAGTGCATAGTTATGATGAGGATGAGTGCCTCTACCAAAATTGTGAATTTTATGGCCCCAGGGTCAAGGGTTCTGGTGTTAGGGGGGGGGGGGGGGCTCTATTGATTATATAGTGAAAATACATGATTTCTTTGAAAATCTTCTACTCTGCTCCTAGGTATTAAATAAACCAACTAAGTGCATAGTTATGATGAGCAAGAGTGCCTCAACCAAAATTGTGAATTTTATGGCCCCAGGGTCAAGGGTTCTGGTGTTAGGGCAGGGCTCTATTGATTATATATTGAAAATACATGAATTCTTTGAAAATCTTCTTCTCTGCTCCTAGGTATTAAATAAACTAAGTGCATAGTTATGATGAGCAAGAGTGCTTTTACCAAAATTGTGAATTTTATGGTCCCAGGGTCAGGGTTTCTGGTGTTAGGGCAGGGCTCTATTGATTATATATTGAAAATACATGAATTCTTTGAAAATCTTCTTCTCTGCTCCTAGGAATTAAATAAACTAAGTACATAGTTATGATGAGCAAGAATGCCTCTTTTAAAATTATGAATTTTATGGCCCCAGGGTCAGGGGTTCTGGTGTTAGGGGGGCGGGGCTCAATTGATTATATAATGAAAATACATTAAATCTTTGAACTTTTTTTTCTTTGTCTCTGGGTATAAAGCAGATGAACTACCTTTATAGTTATGATGAGCAAGGACCCTAATCTTGCAGAATTGTGAATTTCATAGCCCCAGGGTCAGGGAGGGGGTGGGGGCTCTACTTATATACTGAAAATGAATTTATTGTTTGAAATCTGCTCTTTTGTATTTATAAAACATTTATTTACTTTTTGATATTAAGGGTGCCTTTTTGAAATTTGTGTAATGTGTGGACCTAGGGTCAGGGGTTTATGTCACAGGGTTAGGGGCACTACTGGTTAGTTGGAATGCATTTTTGTTCCCCTACCCTGCATATGGGTATTCAGTAACCAAGCTAAGCAACTGCTAAGTGTATTGTTATGATGATCAATGGTGCCTCTTTCAAAATTGTGAATGTCATATAGCATCTGGCTTAAAACATGAATCAAATTCAATAACTGGAAAATTGTTGCATAATGCTCAGGTGACCTATAAGGCCCGTGGGCCTCTTGTTTAATTTTGTGGCCAATCTTTTTTTTTATCATTTAATCCCATTTTTTCAGACACTGGGATGTTTAGAATCATCAAATCTTTTATGTTGAGGCATTTTTGGGCCTTAAAACATATTTATGAAAAAGTAGGTCACTGTGACCTATTTTTAAAATTTTGTAGATTGTTTAAAAGGCATATTTTGAATACTCTCAGACCTATGATCATCAAACTTTTT